AAAGAAACTGAAATGCATCAGAATACATTCTGGTGTCAGCTTGCTGGCAGTCTGAAACACTGTAGTTTTTTCATTGTTTATAGACTAAAAAGAATTTTTCTTTAGTGGACTGTTCCCATGTGCTATCATAGATTTTAGGGCCAAAGCTTGTGACAGACATTTTAAGAAAGAATACAATTGTTATTGACTAACTTCTGAGACTAAAATTAAACATTATTTTACTGCAGCAACTTCAAATGGAACTAAATGTAGTTCTTTTGCATTTATTTTGGAAAAAGTATGTACTGTGATGAAAATTCTTAGGCTGAGAATTTTGCTATTGAAATGATTGTATAAACCCTTCTTTCACTATCAAAAGAGGGAATATGAACTCTGGGTTACAGAAAAGACCCTAAAACAAGATCTTACGGTAAAAACTTACAGCTAAGAGGGCAGTATACAGTTTTCAGTATTTGTGTTCCCTGTAAAGTTTCAGCTGACACTATTTCCTGATGGACTTTCATCACTTCTAAACATCCAGAAGTTGTTGCTTTCTATACTAATGATGAATGAATTTAATTTCAATAATGTTTATATCTTATCCATCCCTTTACCAGATCTAAGTTAGGAAACCATTGTCTGAGGACATTTCTAAATTTCTGTGAATGAATGTATTACAGCCTTAGTTGCTGTCTGTATTGTGTCTGGTCATTGTCTTTTCAATAGGGTGCCTGCTTTTCTAGTGTCCCGCATGAATGTTTACCAAATTAATACAATTTCTACAATTAACAAGGTGCAATTAAACTTGCACAAACAGGAAAAAATAACATGTAATTTTTAATTTTATACACATTGTTTTATTTTAATGTATATTATATGTAGTTTATCAACTGGTACCAAAACATATGAAGTTGCAAGTTTATAATAGAATTTGCATTTAAAAAGCTTACAGAATTGGATTATGCTTTGACATAGGACATGAGTTTAAAACTACGTTTTTCTCTTCAGAGCATGTCAGCTACAACATTTTGAAACTGTATTTTTGGAACTACAGTATAATGTACTCATGGCATATTGCTCTTTGCTTATCATTTTCCAGCAGATAAAGATATCTTCTTCTGTGACAACACCCTGCACATGCTCCCATCTTGTATTTCCCAGACTCCTCTGTGTTGAGATGTGAAGAAACCCCAACTTTTTCTGCACCATTTTCTCAACCTTAATTCATTCCTTTGCTTCTTGATGATGCAGCAGACTTACTGATTATGTCAAGGCTTCTTATTTCTAATGTCACTTTAAAAAAATAAATCTCTATTGTTAATTCAATAAAACATCTTAGTCCTTTAGTTTTTTTTTTTATAATTTACATCTTATGTGTTGCTGATATGGTATAAAGTGCCTCATTAAACTTTCCATTTTCTGAAGGAGAATTAACCCAACCAGTGTTTCAGTTTGTGATGCTATCTTTTTTTCTTGATTTTTTGTTTTTATCCAATAGTAAACAGGCCTTTGTGATCCTAAGAGTTTGACTCAGTGCTGTTAAAGGATAGCAGGCAATTATTATTACTTTCCCTCTGAAGTAAGTTTCTTAGTTTTGCAAAGTATTATTTTCAGACATTGCATTCCCATAATAGATTGAGACCTTTTAATCCCCATGGATGTTGAAATTAATGTTGTCATTGTTGTTCATCTCTTTCATATTATATAATTACTGCTTGAACCAGCTACTCTGTATTACTTAGGACTTAACAGAGAATAATCCCTCATCTTGTGTACTCTGGAATTAGCTGTTCAAGAGCATTTGTTTAAGAAATCACTTCTCTAAGCCTTGTTCCATTTAGCAGAACATGAGATACATTGTAAATATATTTGCAATATGCTAAGAAGTACATCTTCTTGTAAGTTCATATTCTTATATGTGTTGTGAAACATTAAAATGCCACTTATCTGATTTTATTTAGAGAGGTGATGTACCTGTGTCACTGTATACTAATGAAGCATAATTGGCAGGGATGTATCTGACTTAATAGGAAAGATACAAACCCCACCATAGACAGCTGAGGCAAAACAGCCAAACACCATCTTTCACTTGTAAAATACCTCCCTGGAAAAACATAAACTGTCTTATTTGTGCAAAAGGTCATTTCCCCCCACAATAACTGAATAATCAGAGAAGCATTCCTGACCCTCAGATTTGCTCAGTTGGTTGGAGCATGGTGTTAATAACACCAGGGTCCTGAGTTCGATCCCTGTATGGGCCATTCGTGTAAGAGTTGGACTCGATGATCTTTGTCAGCCCCTTACGACTGAGAATATTCTCCAAAATCCGTGGAATTTCCTTTCCCTGCGAACACAGCGTGGCCACGTGTGTCCTGCCTGCCGGGATCAGCACCTTGGACAGCGCTGTGTCTTTCCCGGCCGTCCTGAGCTGCGGGAAGACCGAGAGGCTCCAGAGGATAGTCACTGTCATTAGTTTGTGCCTCTGCCGACAAAAAGAATGGAGGGGGACTGATGTCTGAGTTCCGGTGTACATCCGCAGCGTATAACGAGTGCCACATTACGGAAGGGATATCGTGGAGGACCAGTGGCTCCCGAGGCGATGGCTGCCCGACGTGAGTGATGCTGGGTGGAGACATCCAGGCTGCTAGAGGCCAAAGGAATGCTGTGTGTCAGAGCCGAGTGGGAACGCTAGGCAGAGGAAGAAGCTGGGATACTACATTGCTTCCTACTCCTGTCCAAAATAGATGCCAAGTGTGTAACCTTTAACGCGCACCCCTCGTACATTGGCATATTCACTTTCACTGATCAAATACTCTATTGTTCTAATTCCTGAGTTGTAAGAAAGATGACAACACTAACATTTTAGCTTCATTGAAGTTAATACCACACATAAGTATCGATCTCAGGAGATCCAGAATTTCACTTTAAGTAATAACCTAAGAAAATTATGTATTTATGGAGAGTAGAGGAAAGTAAAGACCATGATTATGTTTTTGCATATTCATACTTAAATATACATTATATATGCAGTAAGGAGAAAATTAATAAATTCTCAATTCGTACCACAAAAATACTTCCACTTTCAAATGAGCTTTTACAGCAGCAGAAGTCAAATATATCAGATGCCTAATTCTGCTGATAATCAATCCAATTTCCAGAATGAGATTAAGCATCATTATAGACTTTTTCTGTAACTACCTTTCCCGTGGGACAGCAACACAGAATAGCCATGCGAAGTTAACATCCAATTAGAAAGAATAATACCTTTTGCACTTCTAACAGAAGCTAGTTGGGAATTTTCCAGTCTGTTTCTGTGCCTACTCTCCCATCTTGGGAATTCCTAAGAAACCGTAGCTACCCAAGTTCAGAGATGCTCTGGGTGTTTAGGAAGCAGAAAACTGCTTGGAAAACTGCTTATGATTTTTGGGGAAGTAACATTTGCTTTATCTGTTGGTTAATATATATGAAATTTTGGCCTGATAAGAGATAAAAGTCATTTATCTCTTTAGTCTTTCATTCAAAAAAAAATTTTTTTTTCAACAAAGGATAAGTTTCCTTGGCCGTAAGTTTCAGGCTGCGTGAATCTGTCTGCAAATTTCTGCTCCGTGCTGTGTTGTTTTCAATAAATGTGTGGGACTGAAAGCTGCATCTGAGGCTGGTGTCATGAACATCCTTATTGTAAGAGCTTGAGAAAAAATAATATCTCTCGGTGTTCTGCACTGTGAAAATATGTTAATACAAAGTTAATTGATTAAATGCTTAAATGCATGGTTTTTTAAAAAAATATTTATTAAAAAATTATATGACTAATATGGTATTAAGTTTATTCAAAAAGGTTTAAGAGAAAAAACTACCACAAATTAAAATGAAAATAAAGTAGCATGGAAAAATGTCACCAACGTGAACTTACAAGTTAAAAGTAAAAGTTCTATGGAAGAAAAGTCAATCTAGCTAATGAAACAGTGAAAGAGAAAAAGAAGTAAAAGAAATGGAGATTCAAAAATAAATCCTGACAAAATACATACAACTTTGAAAACCAAATTTGTGGTGAAAGTGATAGGAAAAGGACTGGGTTTATTTTCAACTGTCAGACCAGACTAGTTAAGCAGGGGTTTTTAGAAGAGATATTCGACTTTATAGCACAAATCTGTTTGTATAATCATATACTGGGGCTTTATTTAGCTGGCGAGATAGTCTATAGAGTGACAAAGCTGGGAAGAAGCACGTTTTTCTGGCTAAAATTCTGGACGTGGCGGGGGGCTTTCCCCGGCACTGCTGCCTCACGCAGCACAGAGTAGTCGGTCCCACACCTGTGAGGTGGGAGAGTGGCGACTTCGACGTGTAAAACGCTAAGGGTGAAAAGTTGCGTATGGGGAAATTAAGACAGGGAAGTAACTTTTGTGTGGCGAACGAGTCAGCAGTGGGCTGAAAGGGTTAAATATTCGTCATTAAAAATTACAGTTGACATTTTCTTCTCGGTTGAAGCGGAGCTGCCGCTGGGCCCAGCGAGAGCGGGGGGTGATTTTCACTCGCGGCTGACGAGAGGCTGGGGCTCATCTGGAGTCGGCCGGCGGCGGAAAGGCGAGGAACGGGGATTTTCCCCAGAGGGGTAACGAAAACAAAAAAAAACCTAAACTTGGGTGAGGGGGAGAAGACACAGGCGCGCTTAAAGGGAAAATAAAATAAAATAAAATGAAGTAAAAGGTAAATAAGAGAAAGCCTCTCGTCGCGGCAGGTGAAGGTGAAGCGCGTTACCTCCCGCCCGGTGCCCGCCGCCACCGACGGCCGGTCCCCGCCGCGCCCTCTCAGCCCCGCGGGCCCGCCCGGCCGCTGACGGCGCCGCCCTCGGCGCAGGCGCAGCCGGGGCGCGGGGGGGCCGGAGCGGCGCCGCACCCTCGCTCCGCGTCCCGGGCGGTGTCTCGGCGCAGCCATGTCTGGCGGCGCGGGGCGGCGAGGCGCGCTCGGGCGGCGGCGCCCTCTGTGAGGCGGCGGCGGACGCGCGGCGGCGGCGGGCATCCATGTCGGCGGGCAGGGATTAGCGCGGCGGACACAGAGCCGAGCGGAGGGGGCGGCCGGCCCGTCGCCCCCTTCCCGCGGGGTCTCCGGCGGGGGAGAGCCGTACCCGGCCGGCGGGGGCGGGTGGACATGGCTGACCGGAGCGCGCCGAGCTGCCACCTGCGGCTGGAGTGGGTCTACGGCTACCGGGGTCACCAGTGCCGCAACAACCTCTATTACACGGCGGCCAAGGAGATCGTCTACTTCGTGGCGGGGGTCGGCGTGGTCTATAGCCCCCGGGAGCACCGGCAGAAATTCTACCTGGGGCACCAGGACGACATCATCAGGTACCACCGGGCTGCCTCCCGCCGCGGGCCCCGACCCCCTCCGGCTGTCCCGACCCCACAGCCCGTCTGTCCCGACCCCACAACCCGGCTCATTCCCTGCCCAATCCTCCCGTTGCCCCGGAGCGGGTGCGGGTGTCCCCCCGCCGCCGCCTGCCCCCGGTGCCGTCCCGGGCAGCGCCGGCGATCCCGCGTCCCGCCAGCGCCCCGGGGACCCGGGGAGCGGACCGGGATACATCAAGGACAGTCAGCGCTCCCTCACCGCCACCCTCCGCCCGGGCATCGCCGTGGGTAAAAGCAGCCTGGGAATGGCTTTTGGCAGTCGGATTTCACGGGCCAGGTCGTGTTCCCCCCACCGCCACCGGTGTGCGGTGCCGAAACTTGCGCGGGCGCCCGTGCCCGGCGCGGCAGCCCGAGGGTCGCGGCTCGGTCCCGGCCGCCCCTGAATGTCAAAGGGCCGGCGGGAGGAGAGGCGGTAATCGCGTGTGTGCCCCGGGGCACTCGGGATGCGGAGGAGGTTAATCTGCAGCAAGGTAGACCTTTGGCTGGTGTTAAAAAGGCGACGATTACATGGGGAATTAGTGGCCTGCCTGTAACTCACGCAACTTTCAGGGTAATTTTGAAAGAACAACCTTTCTTGCGAAGTTGAGGCTTCTTCTGCAGCTCAGTAGTTCACTAGGCAGGGAATGTTATCATGTTCTGAGTTCATAAAAAAAAAAAAAAAAATTAAAAACTGATGTTGCTGAAGAAATGTGCTGGTGTAATTTCTTAAATGTATTTCCACTCCAAGGATGCTTTCATAAGCCTAGTGGTGCTGTGAGATCAATGAGAGAATTTGAGGAGTATGAAGGGCAGATGTGAGCCTGAGTCATCAATCTTTTCCCTTCCAGTAGGTGTCATTGCAGATGGATTTTGATTTCCTTTGCTCTTCCTGTTGGGGTAAGAGCTAGCAGCACGTAGTTTTGTAGGTCTTTTGGAGGTTTTACAGCACAAAATTTGTTTTTATGATGCTCAGTGCTCCAAGGCATACTTTCTGTATGTGTTACTCATGTGAGTAACAGGTATTGCCTCCAGAGAGCATAATAGATGTTATGTGTTTTATTTAAGCTTTTAGACAAACTAGAAAACTTGGTCATAATGGCCACTTTTTTCATTTGTTTAAATTTTCTTCTTGAAGAAATTTAAGTAGTTTTGAAGTATGGCTGTAAATGGTGTAACTTGTGTAGTATATTTCTCCTTGGTGCTAAATATGTAAAGAAAAAAGTAATCAGACAATGTACCATTATAGACCCGTATACTAGGGCTGTTTAATCAGGATTTTGAATCACTGTTGTTTACATCATTTAATGCTTTAACATTCGCACTTTAGTCCAGGAAAAACTGTTTTCTTAGGAACTGCTAGCCATCTATGATGTCAGGTGCTGCGGGAAATCCAGATCTGCAACTTCCTACTGTGCTAAGGAAGCGGTACCTTACTACTTGTTCTAAGGTCCCGGTAGTGTAATGTTACACATTTAATACTTAGTATTCATGAATGCTTCTGAATGACACTGTTTGTTTCAGTAGCACTTCTTATAGCGTAAGAATTACATGGTTTGAGCTGCAACTGTGGTAACAGTTTCTTGCTCAGCGTCTCTCAGTTTTGGTACAATGTGCTACATTTGGCCAAAATGTGACAGAACTCATTATTTAGAATAGTACTTTAAAAAAAAAAAAAAAGTCTATTGAAAGTCAGCTAACAAGAGAGAAAGAATGTATCTCGTTTGTGTCGGAATGTAGTTTGAATTGTATGATACCATGACCCAGCATACTGGAGTTTCTTCTGCTCTGAATTGTACTGATGTTGGGAGAATATAATTCTAAGTATGTTAATGCATTACAGATTTATGCAGTTAGAATTTTGCATGATTCTTAAATGCAAAAGCTACGCAGAAATATTAGTATACTATAAGAAGATGCTTGATTTAAAAGCAGTGTGGCTATTTCTAATAGTAAAATTAGAACTTGCAGTAATCAGTATTTCACTTGCTACTTTTTTCAAAAGCAACATGGTACCATTTAAATGTCATCTCACATTTTCATGACTATACTTGGGTACCTAAACATACTAGTTCCCAAAATTAAAAGGAGTCATGGTATTGTATTAGGTCAAGTATTAAAGGTATATAAAAGTCAAGTATTAAAAAAAAAAAAAAAAA